CCTTTGACAGACAAAATTTCGCGCTAACGACTTTCATTTTCCTGGCTTGCCATTTATTCTTTGGGAGCTCACCCGTCATGATGTAGTGCTTTATTGGCTCCCTCCAGTCAGCCCCCCAGTCTTTAGCCGGAATTTGGCCAACTTTGTGAAATATTCGTGGCTCTGGTTCGGGATGCTCGTTTGGTTCAAGAATATCCTCCTCGATTAATGGCTCGGTTTCTAACATTTTTTCTGGAACCACTTCTTCAGCTAAGACAACGGGTTCCTTGTTAGATGCATTCGATCCCCTTGACTTCCTGCGTTTGTTGGGTGGCGGCTCGATCTGTGGTTCGCCACGGTCGCGTGCCGCTGCTCGAGACCTTGTAACGACGAGGGTTTCCTTGCTGTCTTGAATACTTCGCTCCGAGATGCATTCTACTGGAATAACTCTCTTTAACTCAGGATCTGACGTTGACGCCAATGCGGCAAGTGCATCCGCAGTTGTATTCTCTCCCCGAGGTATGCGGATTAATTCAAATTTCGAGAAATTTTTAGATAGATCCTTCACCACTTCGAGGTACGCTTCCATTCTTGAATCTTTGGCCTCATAGTCTCCATTAAATTGGTTAACTACTAATTGCGAATCGCAATAAGCCATAATTTCCTTAGCTCCAACTCCTTGTGCTAGTCGAAGTCCGGCAATAAGGGCTTCGTATTCTGCCTCGTTGTTGGAGGCATTGAATAACAATCGGAATGATTGTTCTAGAATTTCTGATGTTGGAGATTCCAACTTGATTCCCACTCCGGATCCTTGTTTTGTTGAAGACCCGTCCACGTGTAATTTCCAAGTTTGGTTCTCCGATTGCTCTGTCGTTCCAGGTATTGGTAGTTCGGTCAGGAAGTCTGCTAAGACCTGAGCCTTCATACTGATCCGGCTTTTGAACTCTATGTCGTACTCGCTTAATTCCACCGCCCATTTCGCCAAACGTCCGGACTGACTTGGACTATGAAGTATTGTTCTGAGTGGTTGGTTAGTTAATACTTCGACCGGATGGGACTGAAAATATGGACGCAGCTTCCGAGCTGAAGTTACCACCGCGAGTGCAAGCTTTTCCATCATTGTGTATCTGGTTTCTGGATCCGTCATTGACTTGCTCACGTAGTAAATTGGCTTCTGCTCCCCACGGTCTTCCCGAACCAAGACTCCACTAACCGTGTGGTCTGAAACTGATACGTACAAGTAAAGTTTTTCATCCACTTCTGGTTTGGACAGTATAGGTGGAGTGGTTAAGTATGCCTTAAGCTGCCCAAAAGCTTCCTCACACTTCTCATCCCAAAGGAATCCTTTGTTCCCTTTTAGAATTTGGTAGAAGGGTAACGATTTATCTGTTGATCTTGAGACAAAACGATTTAAAGCCGCAATCCGCCCCGTCAACCGTTGTACTTCTTTGAAGTTTCTCGGAGACGGCATATTTAGAAAGGCGTTAATTTGATTTGGATTGGCTTTAATCCCTCTTTCTGTTACGATATAGCCAAGAAATTCTCCAGATGGGACTCCAAATGTGCACTTTGCCGGGTTCAGCTTCATTTGATATTTATTGAGAATATCAAAACATTTCTCTAAATGCTTAACGTGATCCTCTTTCTTTAATGACTTAACCAACATATCATCTATGTAGACTTCCATTGTTTTCCCGAGATGATTATGGAACATCTTGTTAACCAACCGTTGGTAAGTTGCTCCTGCATTTTTCAAACCAAAAGGCATTACCTTGTAACAATAGATACCTCTATCAGTGATGAATGACGTCTTTTCTTGATCTTCGGGGTTCATCATTATTTGATTATAACCCGAAAAAGTGTCCATGAATGTTAACAGCTCGTTCCCAGCGGTGGACTCTACAAGGCGATCTATATGTGGGAGCGGGAAACTATCTTTGGGACATGCTTTATTTAGGTCTGTGAAATCGATGCAAACCCTATCTTTCCCATTTTTCTTTTTGACGACGACAGTGTTTGCTATCCATTCCGGGTATTGCACTTCTCTTATGGATCCTATCTTCAAAAGTTTATCTACTTCGTCATTTACTATTTTGGCTCGCTCCACTCCGAGCTTTCTTCTTTTTTGTTTCACCGGTTTGAAGCTTGGATCCACGTTTAGTTCATGACAAATTACACTCGGATTTATGCCAGGCATGTCCGCTGCTGACCATGCAAATGATGCTTTGTTTTTCCTTAAGAGTTCGATCAAAGCTTCTTTTATTGGGCCAGTCAAAGTCGCTCCAATTCGAATTTTCCGATCTGGTTTGTCTTCTTCCAATACCACTTCGACTACCACATCCTCTTTTTCCTGCCCACTAGGAAATTTCTGCCTTAGTCCTTCTTTTGCGGGCTTTGTTAATTGCTATTGGATCTTCAAACGGTGGCTAGCTAAGTAACACGTCCGTGAAGCTTCTTGATCTCCCCGAATTGTTTCCACCCCATTTGATGTTGGAAATTTGATACATTGATGATATGTAGAGGGGACTGCTTTCATTCGATAAATCCAGGGAGTCCCGAGGATAATATTGTAAGCTGCGGGCTTATCGAAGACAACAAAGTCCACGATCTTCGATACCTTCTTGGCAAGGACCGGTAGCTTGATTGTTCCGAGAGACATGGCTGACTCGCTTGTGAACGCAACTAACGGAGATGGGGGTCCTACTATGTCTCCTCGGCTGATTCCCATTTTTTCTAGAGTACTTAAAAAGATCAAGTCGACCGAACTGCCTGTATCTATAAGGATCCTTGATACTTCGAAGTTAGCGACATCAAGAGTAATGACTAGAGCATCATCGTGCGGTCTTTCGAGATGCCGTGTTTCTTCTTCGTTAAATGATATTGAGGCACCTTGAAAATCAATTTCTTCGCTCAAGCTTGCTTTGAGTAAGACATTTCGTCTATGCTTTTTGATGGAACTTATTGAATCTCCGCAAAATCTGGAACCTCCTAGAATCACATTGATCTTACCCTTCGATCTTCTTGGTTCTTCCTCGTTGGATAACCTTGGTCTTTTGGAATCTTGATCTTTGGAGTTTTCCTTTGCTTCGTGGTATTCCTTCACAAAATCTTTTATATCGAATTTAGAAAGATCGCCACTAGCCCAAAGCTCTGCGAGGTGCTTTTTAAGAACGCTGCAATCCTTGGTTAAATGTCCGGTTACTTTATGAATGTCGCAATATAGACTTTCATCACGGACCCAAGTGTTTGATCTTCCTTTCCCTTGGAATTGCTTCCCGACGGTATTGTTGAAGGGTTGCGACCCAAACTTCTTTGGTCCCTTGCTCTCCCTAGGCTCGAACTTCCTGGTAGGGACGGTGATTGCCGACTTTTCTTGTTTATTCCTTTTGGCAAAACTTTCTTTTTCGTCCTCTACCTCTATCCAGTTGTTCGCGCGGAAGAGTGCATCCTGAATTGTGTCTGGTTTATGAAGTATTAAGTCTTCTTTAAACCTTGAATCATGTCGCAATCCTTTTCGTAAGGCAGATAAAGCTGATTGCTGTGAGATTCTTGGGAGTTTTGACAGCACTCCTTTGAATTTGGTGATGAAAACTCGAAGTGACTCATTAGATCCTTGCGTTAAGTTCCAAAGATCGGCATCCGAAACGCTTTTATCCATAAGGATGGAGTATTGCTTTAAGAATACGGCCGATAGTTCGTCGAAATTGCTGATCGAACCCGGCTCTAATTGGGTGAACCACATTAGAGCTTGGCCACATAGATTCTCCGAAAACAGCTTGCAATAGCCTGCGTCCTCATCAGCTTCATCCAATTCGACTCTTCCTGCAGCGATCAGAAAAGCCGCGAGATAGCTTTTTGGATCCTCCAATCCGCTGTAAGGGTCCAATTTGAGTTTCCGGGAATCTTTGATCCTCAAACTCGCAATTCGCGAGATGAAAGGTGTTCGCCTAGCTTCTTCAATGACTCGATTGATGTCTGGCTCTGAACTTGTAGCTTGATGAAATTTTGATTTCATTTCTTTTAATTCCTGGCTAACCTTCTTCATGGTCTTGAACTGGTCGAGGTTCTCCTGCTCATACTGAGCTGCAAGTTGTTCTTCATCCCCGAGCTGCGTCTCTTCCTCCAACGTCTGAGCTACATTATTAGTAGCACCGGGGGTTGTTTGTCCGCTGGTTTCATTTCGTGCAGCGGAACTTGGCGAGTTGAATATCCCTCTTCGGATTCCCACCTCCTGCACTTAAAGAGCGAACACGAGTTTGTATAGTATTGACGTTTTGACTAAGAGATACCTGGGATGTTTGCAACGTATCGACGGCCTTTTCCACATCCGAGAACTTTTGTGATATGTCCGACATGGTTTGCTGCATAGCTTTGAGGGTTTCGGCCAATGATGTCTCAGCGGCGTCTCCTCCGGACATTGTTGCTTATCTCGGAAGTGTGATAAAGAAAAAATCTGACCACTCAAGAACCTAATATCCCCACAGACGGCGCCAAAATGTGGATGTCGGATTCACACACTCAAGTATTCTATTAGGTGGGAAAGATTATTCTTGAAGGACAAAAATGAATGTATAAAAACTTGTGAATTGTTACGAAAATTGCTATATTCTTTTTCTCTCTAGAGGAAGGGTCCCCTTTTACATAGCCATTGACCTCTATATTTATACATAGGGAAACGACATTAAAATGAGTAATTAAGTACAATTATTCCTTCTTAAATGTGTCCGTTTTGATTCTTTGACTTCAATGCTCAACGTTTGAATTTGAGTTGACTCTGATCTTCACGGGCCTCGCCTTTTTGGCCCAAGTGTCCTTGAACCGACTTACCCGTGTCTTCTACTTCGAGCTTGTGTCATAGTGCATTCACTTCGGATTCTCGAAGTGGTGACGACCACTTCGACCTTTCCTTCGACTCATGGGTCCATTGGGCTTCGTCCTTTATGGGCCATTATTTTGACTACGTGGCAATCTTTGGTTGGTCGCGGACTTCTGGTGCGGGATCCGACACCAACAACGTCCTCACCTCCACAGCCAAAACCACCACATCCACCAGATGAACCGCCGTTATTTCACTGAACAGGAGCACCCTCGGGTCCAGAAACTTCAACAGTCTTCAGACGACTGGCGTTGTCAACCTCAACCTTGAACTCAACAGCTTCATCAACGGCAAGGCTACGAAATTTTTCAGAGCTAATGGACTGGTGAACGAAGAGATCGTCACCACTCACCACCGTCGTCTGGTGTGATGAAACCAAACCCCTTGTGTGTATTAAACAACTTCACCGATCCCTTGCGTCTCTATCCACCACTCATATTTTCATCACCGTCGCTCATTCGGATCAAAGTCTCCGACAACCAAAAATCACTGATCAGCTATTTTTCCTATCTCTCATAATAAAACATATAAATTAAAGTCAAAATAGGATAGCTATTTTTCCTATCTCTCATAATAAAACATATAAATTAAAGTCAAAATAGGTTAATGGCAATTAAATAAACAAAAGAATATAAAATTACATATTCATAGCATATTCAATCCTTTAGTCGCCTAAAACTGAAATTAAAAAATATATATTTGAATCTAAAATTAAAAAAATAACACAACAAACAATCTATCAAATATAAAAGAGGTTAGATGAAAGCCTAACTCCTATAAAGATGGGATTGAACTTTTTGATCCATGACGAAAACATGTACCATAAAATACACAAATTAACTCACACGTCAGTTGTAATCTTCTCTCCATCGATTCAAGTATTAATTTCCACACATCCAAATTATGATTGAACGTAAAAATCATATGTGGAAATTGCGGCATCTTTCAATTCACTAATCAAAACTGAAACAATCAAACCCTAAACTTTTCTCTCACGATTACAAGGATTCAAAGTGATAGAATTGCTTAGAAGCCCAGTATCTATTTAACAATTTCATCACGATAGACATACCTATGCAATCTCGACCGATATCGTTTTAGAGAACTCTGTTTTTCCCGAGCTTCAAAATAGACTCAATATGTTTTAGAAAGCAAATTAATGTTAGAGTTTCTAAAAAACAAAAGAAAGCATATAAATAATTCATAACAAAATACAAATAAAAATAGTAGATTAGAGATTACCTTCTCGTAGTCATCTAATAATAAAAAAAAACTCATAAAATTAAGAAATATTAATATACAAAAATACATGTTTATATCAGATCGATTTAAACGTAGAGATGAGTTCTTCGAGAACCTTGACCAACATAGTTCCAATAATTTATCAAATCTTTCATATAATAACACGACATAATTATTTCTACGAATAACAAATATTCTATATAAAAAAAAGGTCTCAATCACACAAATAATCAAAGAAAATAATCAACAACCAATATACAAAATAAAAAGAAAAAACAAAAAAAATCTAAAACATAGTCGATTATAATATACCTTATCAATCTCATTGACCTCCAAAAACTTGTAAATCACTTCCGCATCAGCGCAATGCTCCGCCTTCAAAAACACAAAAACTATGAGTAACGTTGACAAAAAAAAAATATTTCGTTATGTAGTGCATGGTAAAAAATTATTTTACATCAGATCTGATGAGAGACAACTATCAATAATTAAACCAACACAAATTATAAAATTGTAAGTAATTTACAAAGAGACATAAGAGAAGCGCTAACTAAAATTAAAGAGGACTCACGATTGATGTAAAAAGTTTGTTAATGAATTTAATGAAGAGGCATGTCTTCATCAACTCGTTCATTCAATCTCTTGATAGAAACTCCCATGAGCGGTTACCTAAAACATAATTCACACGATACAAATCAGCAAAACAATAACAATCTTAATAATTCATAGACCAAGATAATAACAATACAAATATAACCTCAAGAAAAAGTAAAAAATAATAACGCAAAATAAAAAAATCGATCCATAAAAGAACCAAAGCAACAAAAAAAAAAGCTATAATATCAAAACGATATGTTTAGGCTAACGAATCTGAGTTCTAATGGTGTGGCTGCGGCTCTATATTTATAGCTTAAAATCTAGGGCACACTGTCATAATTATCTCTAAAAATTTATTTTTTAAAATTGGAAAATTTCTTGATACAAATATTCGTAAGATATTTTAATATCTATCTTAACTTTTTATAAAAATTAAAAAACGAAATATTCCATATTTTAATATTAAAAAACGAAATATTCTATATTTTAATATTAAAAAACGAAATATTCTATATTTTAATAAAATTCACACGATTTTATTGTTTTACCCTCACCAAAAAATAGAAAACTGGATTTGATAGTGTATTCATTAAGGGTGATTAAGACTAATCATCTCAAAACACGATTAGACTTATATACCCCTAACAATTAAGAACAAAAAATTTCGAAATCGAGGGTGTTTAGGACATTAGTATAGAGATCAACACACGATTAGACTTATATACCCCTAATTACGAAAAAGAAGAAATTTCGAGAAGAACAATTCATTAAGGGTGTTTAGGACAAATCATTCCAACTTTTAACCACAGGCCTCCAATGCCCTAACTTTCAATATGGTGCGTTTCTACTTCTCAAATAATTATTGTAGAGATTTGACATTTATTTAGATACACCATCATTATCGGTATAAAATATAAAAGAAAGTTTCTTTTATTTTATCAGATTTGTGAATTTAAAGAATATATGATAGTTGTTTTGATATTATCGGCAATATCTATATATTTTAGAAAAGTAAATTTTACCTTTAAAAAAAATTGGCTCGTAATTATCACAACATAAATTTACCATTAATATATCAAAAATATAATTAAACGATTAATTATGACACATCTTTTGTTGAAAAAAAAAAGAACCAAAAAGGAAAAAAAAAACACGGAAAAGGAAGAGAAAATAAGAAGACACGACCAATCCTTTCTCCGACGTAATTGTATGTGACTCACGACCATGATTAGATTGGTGGAGATTAATCATTGGATGTTCTTGGTCGAACGATAAACCGTCATAAAAAAAGTATGTAAACTACATTTGATCCAAATTTATTTATTTTTTTCATTTTTTCGTGTTTAAGAATATTACTATTTTTTTAAATGTAAAATATATCGAATTTTTATATTTTAGGGTCAGTTAATTTTTTAATTTTAATTAATATTCGAATTAATTTAATAGAAGGTATTTAAGTAATTACGCAAAATCAAGGGCTTAACTTTACTTTTAAAAACAATTGGCTCGTAATTATCACAACATAAATTTACCATTAATATATCAAAAATATAATTAAACGATTAATTATGAGACACATCTTTTGTTGAAAAAAAAGAACCAAAAAGGAAAAAAAAAACACGGAAAAGGAAGAGAAAATAAGAAGACACGACCAATCCTTTCTCCGACGTAATTGTATGTGACTCACGACCACACTGCTCAAATATTGTTATTATAGATAGATAGATAGATATCGAATTTTTATATTTTAGGGTCAGTTAATTTTTTAATTTTAATTAATATTCGAATTAATTTAATAGAAGGTATTTAAGTAATTACGCAAAATCAAGGGCTCAACAAGAGCCGAGAGTCCGACACGTCAGCAAAAACACTTCTCAAATATTGTTACATAAATTTACCATTAATATATCAAAAATATAATTAAACGATTAATTATGAGACACATCTTTTGTTGAAAAAAAAGAACCAAAAAGGAAAAAAAAAAACACGGAAAAGGAAGAGAAAATAAGAAGACACGACCAATCCTTTCTCCGACGTAATTGTATGTGACTCACGACCACACTTCTCAAATATTGTTATTATAGATAGATAGATAGATATCGAATTTTTATATTTTAGGGTCAGTTAATTTTTTAATTTTAATTAATATTCAAATTAATTTAATAGAAGGTATTTAAGTAATTACGCAAAATCAAGGGCTCAACAAGAGCCGAGAGTCCGACACGTCAGCAAAAACACTTCTCAAATATTGTTATTATATAGAAGTTTATATTTATGTTACAATTTTTCTTTTTATATATTTTAAATAAAAATTATTCCTCAATAATTAAAAATTTAGAAAGATCAAACCGCTGTAAATGTTTTTATTTATACGATTACATATTATCACTAACACCAATTTCTAAACAATAATATTTTAATAATTATCATTACTCGTATATCTTAATAATTTGGTTTTGGAAAAAAGTATTTTGGGCCAAAATTTTTGTTATGGGCTGAAATAACATTCCGAAGTTTTATGAGGACCGAGAACTAAGTTTAAGAAAAATATTGAAAAGAGCGTATTATTATTAGCAGAGAGACAAATTTAGTGAAGTCTCTGTCTTTTTTTTTTTCTAGGGTTTTAGATTTTCTCCCAGAGAGAAATTTTGAAAGCTTCAGAGAGATTTCCAGCTCCGGCAGCCATGGCGAGCACCAAAGTTCAAAGGATTATGACCCAACCTATCGTACGTTTCTTCTTCGATTCCTTGTTTCATCTGTTTATTGTTTCTATCGAAACCTAATTTTATATCTTGCTTTTTGTTTTCCGGTGGCGGCGGCTCCAGAACTTGATTTTTAGGTTTCTTCAAAGTGTAAGTTATTCAATTTCTTCTGGTTTGCTTTCGTTTTCGTTAACGTAATTGTTCTCTGTGACGTTTTAGGTTATTAGTTCGTCTTCTAATTTGTTCTGGTCTTTTGTATTTGTGATGCAGAAAGCTAGGATCCAGATTTGGCTGTTCGAGCAGAAAGATTTGAGGATTGAAGGAAGAATCACTGTAAGTCATCATCATATATTCTTTTGCTCTACACTTTTTTTTGCTATGGATTTGTTGTTATTGAAGCTCCATTATCATGAATTGATTAGATCCCTAGCTTTATTTTTGTGAAAATCGTGTTTGTTATGTGAACCTCGGAGAGATCGAATGCATTAGTCTCTGTTTGAATTATTGCATTTGTTGCTGGACGTTGAATAGGTGAATTGATTTAGTTCAGCCGTAGAATCAAAAAGGATTGTTGACATTGATAGTTTCACTGTTACTACTGCTCAAAGAACTGATAAGAGCCTGTCAATAGAAACTAGTTTGATTCTTAAGGTCGGTGTTGGTCCTGCCTCAGACTGCATTTGTATTGCTAAACTTTTATTCTTATCGAGTCATAATTCTAGCTGTTATTACGTTGAGTATGAGTGTGTTATTCTCTTTGGCTTAAAACTTATAGTTGCCTGCAGCCTACTTGATTTTGGGTGTTCCTTGTTTCAATTTGTTGCTATGCTTGTAAGTCTTTTATTCTTTTCGAGTTATGATTCTAGCATTCAAGCTTTTCGTAGTTTGATTCTATGCTTATAAGTAATTTGGTGAAACTTGAGATTTGTGATGGTGTCATTCTCATTGACTTAAATCTTGGAGTTGTCTACTTGACTATTGTTGTTCCATGTTACAATTTGTATAGCTATACTTTTATTATTCTTTGAGTTAAGATTCTAGCTTTTCTTAGGTTGTAACTATGTTTGGAGGAACCTGAGATTTGTGATTGTGTCATTCTAATCGGTTCTAAACTTGGAGTTTGTCTACTTGACTTTGGGTGTATCATTACATTAATCCTTGTTTCAATTTCTCCTTTTGCAGGGTTTTGACGAATACATGAATCTGGTGTTGGATGAGGCCGAAGAAGTGAGCATCAAGAAGAACACTAGGAAACCACTTGGTCAGTTGTCATGAACTCACTCTTTGCTAACATGTCTTGATTTGTTTGCTTATGGTTTGATAACTCGTGTTAATACCTATTTTCAGGAAGGATTTTACTTAAAGGAGACAACATAACTCTGATGATGAACACGTAAGTTACACAATCGTCTAATTTGTCCTTTCTCTTTATGATGTAGCAACTTGATTTGTCACATAACAAGAGATTGAAACACAATCCTTTTCTATGTTTACAGGGGAAAGTGATGTCTGTCTCAATAAGCTCTGTCGTGGATTCGTAGATCTCGATTCTTCGATGACCTTCAAGCTTATGTTAAATATCTGTTGAGTTCTTCCTCAGTTTAATTGGTACTTGACGATACCTTCTTTTCTTCAATGTCGTATAATATGCAATGTAGTAACAACTTTGAGAAATTAAGGAGCTTGATCGAATCTAGTGGATTGGTTACAAGATGTGGAGTTTTCTTTACTTAACGGCATAATATTTTGTATTAGATTGTTTTAATAGATCAAAATTGGAATTGCTTGAAAATTCGTCAACATATTATGTAATTCGACTGATCTTTGTTGCAACTTTTCAATTTATTTCTTCTGTTTAGATTTAGCTAAGATTTACTCAAACATTAAAACCAATTTATTTTGATTAAAAAATTGTATCACTTTTCTTTGTTTGGTGAACTGACCGAGTTGGCCATTCTCAGGCTCAAGTAGACTGAAGTTTAATTATATAAATAGACCAATTAGAATATAATCTGTTAAAAGTTAACATAGAAATACAGAAATATCTAAATCTTTAACTTTTTCATTGCAATTAGATTTTTTATATTCATGTAATCTATACTATTGTATTATATAACCCATGTTGAATCTTATCCCTAATCTTGCTATTGGTGAAATGAATGTATTTGTACTATTATAATCTTTTTTTTAATAACAAATAATTGGACTTTATACAACAAAGTATTATTATTTAATTATCAACTTTAGAATATAGCATGTGCCGAAAATACATACACTAGCCGCCGGCTCAAGAATGTCATCCAATAAACGAGCAGCAAAGTGGCGGCAATTGAAGCCTACTGTGGTCTTGTCCGCACTGGATAATTATCTTTAATTACTAAAACTAGTCAAAGTACTCGACTAATCACAAAACTAGACAAGTGTTTCAAGTAAATTAATTTTTGATCTTTTGATTTTATCTCTCTCTCTTTCTCTTCTATAGTTCTATCCAAAACACCATTTTTGAGGTATTTTTCTCTCTCCTTCGAATCGAATTTTCAGGTTTCTTCTATTTCCGTTTGCTTGAAGAAACGTAAGTAGAAATCATAAATCTTGCTTTGCTTGCTGGGTTTGATTTGTTGTGGTAAAGTTTTGAACTTTTTGAGTTTGAGAGCTGGATTTGTGATTCTCTCTCTGAGTTGGTGAAGTGTTTTACTTGCATCGATCTTTGTAGATCGAAGCTTCTTGTAGCGTAAAAAATGCAGACAAGGTATATGGAGAGGACTAATAGTATGAGA